TTGTGCTGAGGGCGGCACGCAAGTGACAGGAGTGATGGCGATGATGATGACAGGCCGTGTGCTGCTGGTGTGTGCCCTCTGCGTGCTGTGGTGCGGTGTATCGCCCGCCGCTGGTATCCTTCCACTTCACGGAGGAATGGTTGTCCGCGGTGCGACATTCAGTCTTGATGAGGCTCAAACGGAGCATTGGAGACGCAGCTGCGAGTGGTGGTTTGTGGCGAGGGTGGCCGCCCTGACGTGCTGCCAGCGTGCGGTGCCTCGCGAGGAGGGAGGGCGGGAGCCCGCAATTTGTCTCGTCGACTTGTTGCAGGCGTGATGGTGGCGGCGTGCAGGCCAGTGAGTGGTGTGGTGCTGAGGGTGCCTGGGAAGAGTGCGGATGGATTCATGCCCAGCAGCTGCACGTGCCGGCGTGTTCCTCCCGCTGTGGATTTGACGGCGGGGGACTATCTGGCAGCGTGGGGTGATGCGTGCCGGCGGAGAAGTCGCCGGGAGTTAGCTGGAGGGTGTGGGGAGGTGAAGCAGTGAAAGACGGGCTGCAGCGCGTAGGCACCGCGAAGGGCGGTTGTACTCCTTTGCATCCCGCTGGTTGATGTGTGTGTGTGTACTTCGCTTGGTGTGTGCTGACGCGTGACGAACAACACGCCCGCCGTGGCTCCTGCTGGTGGTGGCCGTCGCTGTGTATACCGGTGCAATGTTCCTACTCCTTGTTCCGTGTGTCTATGTGCGTGAGTTGTTGTGGTTGGGAGTGACCGCGACGAGGATCATGATGCCACTCACAGTGTGGATGGCGGTGGTTACTGTTTCACCTCTTTACTTTGCTTTTTTTCTTTTTTCTCTTCCCTCCTACATGCACACACGCTAGGAAAGAAAGCAACCAAACGCGAATCGCTACTGTGAAATTCAGAGGCTCTTAGGGGACCAACAGCACACACACACCGCCCACACACATATATTTATATGCTCTCACGTGTTGCTGCAGTGAAGGCACCCCGCACACACAACCGTCGCCGCGTGACCGGATCCAGCGGAAGGAGGAGGGAGGGAAGAGAGAGTGAGCCGCAGAGGCCCCACATGTCCCGGCGTGTGTTTGATTCCGCGGTGTTGCTTCTCCTTTTTGTGATGGTGTGCTGCAGCGGTGGGACTTCGAACGCCGTGAAGAGTAATTCGGGGAATGCGCAATTGCCTCATGCGGTCGATCTATTTTTGCCGAATCAGACGCTGGTTGTACCGAAAGACGGAACGTCTCAAGAGACTACGAGGGAAGCATTTGCTTCACCCTCTCTTGTGAGTGCTGGAGGAGTAATTGCTGCTTTTGCCGAAGGTCTCATGTATGTCGAATATGTCGTTGAAGGTGGTAAAGTAATTGAGCCCATTTCTTCTGATGTTGTTGCGGAGTACATCGACTCTTCGTGGGATTGGTCCGCTCTTGTTGTCAAGGTGAGTGAAAGTAAATGGAAGGCATACACTGTGCTTGGTCCAACGGATGGAACGGATAATGGTGTGGGTTTTTTTTACCACCCCACAACCACCACGAAGGGCAATAAGGTGTTTCTTCTTGCGGGAAGCCTTGGTGAGCTCAAGGAAAGTGGTGGGAGGAGGACTCGGGACAACCTGGGTCTGAAACTGGTAGTGGGTGATGTGAGGGAGCCTACGAGCAGCGAGCCGACTGGAAGTATCACATGGGGCGAAATCAAGTCTCCGTTGAAAGAGAGTAATTTAGCTGCTCACGAAGGTAAATTGACGGAGCTTCTTGCCGCTGGTGGCTCAGGTATTCTGATGGAGGATGGCACGCTTGTGTTTCCACTGATGGCGAAGAGCGGAAATGGTGACTATTACTCCATGACCATTTACTCGAAGGAAGACGGCAAAAAATGGTTGCTCTCAACAGGCGTTTCCCCTGCGGGCTGCCGTTTCCCCCGCATCACCGAGTGGGAGGGATCACTTCTCATGATTGTTGACTGCGAGGATGAACAGAATGTGTACGAGTCGCGTGACATGGGGACAGCGTGGACGACGGCAGTCGGGACAATCCCAGGCGTGTGGGTCAAGTCACAATCATTCTTTCGGGATCTGAGCTTGCGTGTGGAGGCCCTTATCACCGCAACCATTGAGGGAAGGAAGGTCATGCTGTACATTCAGAGAGGGTACACCTCGGTGGAGAATGAGGCCAATGCGCTCTACCTTTGGGTCACGGATAACAACCGCTCGCTTTCTGTTGGACCGGTTGGCATGGACAATGTTGGGAAGGGGGAGCTTGCCGGCGCCCTGCTGTACTCGGATGGGAGTTTGCATCTTTTAAAACAGAGGGGCAACGGTGAAGGCAGTGCCATTTCACTCTCCCGCCTGTCGGAGGAGCTGAAGACGATCAATTCTGTCCTGAAGACCTGGGCGCAAAATGACGCCTTCTTCTCCAAGTTGTCAATACCCACGGCGGGTTTGGTGGCGGTATTGTCCGATGCGGCCAGTGATGACACGTGGAGCGACGAGTACCTTTGCCTGAATGCAACGGTGACGAACGCCACGAAGGTCAAGGATGGGTTGAAATTGACGGAGCCTGACTCCAGGGCAATGTGGCCTGTGAACACTTGGGCTAATAATGTGCGTCATATATCCTTGAGCCACAACTTCACGCTTGTGGCGTCGGTGACCATCGAAGAGGCTCCGAGTGAGGACGCTCCTCTACTGGGTGCGGCGTTGGGGGAAACTAATTCCCCGCTTACCATGGGAATCTTGTATACCGCGGATAAAGAATGGGCAACTATATTCAAAAGCAAGAAGACAACAAAAAGTGGCACTTGGGAGCTTAAGAAAGAATACCAAGTGGCACTCATGCTGCAAGGTAACAAGATCTCCGTGTACGTTGATGGCAAGTCGCTGGGGGAGGAAGAATTGCCGTTACAAAGTGAGAGGCCACTTGAGTATTTAAGATTTTGCTTTGGCGCGTGCGGTATAAAAAACTCTCCTGTGACGGTGGCGAACGTCTTTCTGTACAACCGCCCACTGAATTCCACTGAGATGAATGCAATCAAGGAAAGGAAACCCAAAGAAGAAAAAGGAAGCGGTGACGGTGAAGATAAAAAAGGAAGCGGTGACGGTGAAGATAAAAAAGGAAGCGGTGACGGTGAAGATAAAAAAAGAAGCGGTGACGGCTCCATGCGTGAAGGTATGTCTCGGGTGCTGCTGCTTCTGCTGGGGATGTGGGGCATTGCGGCCATTTAATGAGAAATCGCAGTGAGGATTTCCTGCCACCAGCGGGAGCTATATGTATCTCTCCACTCACTCTTCGAAATAATTGACTTTTGTGTGGATGCAACTTTTGTTTTATCTGTTTTTATTGTCGATTGGACTACCCCTTTCTGTCCGTGCAAGTCGCTATGTAAATGGCGTGCTCTCCCTCCTGGGACTGCACCGCGAGGTATTTGTTTTTGCTTTATTTTATATGCTTGTTTTTTTTTGTATAGTGGAATATTTTGAGATTGGCGGGATGTCTTTGGTGTTTCCGTCGGCCGACGACAGGTGCAGTCGGCATTGAGCGCCACGACGATGGTGCGGTGAAGAAGGGATTTAAGATGTGCAGCAACGCACTGAATGTCCGAATGAAATGTGGGTGTTGTGTGGACACCAGGAGGCTGAACGGCTGAAGCAAATATATTTTTACTTTTGCGGGAAGAATATACACGTGTTTTTTTTTTGTTTTTG